TGAGTAGTAGCATTAAACAGACAATAATATGTTATCATTCCACTTCCTTCAATATCCGTTAAATTAAATAGCTGAACAATACTAAAGAAAATGTTCTATATGGATCAGTAAGTTTAATTATAAAACACAGAGTGTGGGCACACATTATACAATTAGCATACTGTACTTATTTGCTACCTAAGCTAGACATATTGTGCATTGTTTCAATTTGATGCAGACATGTCTGTTAGGTTAGTCAGTGAGATAGAGGGGGAGGAGGGCTCCAAAATATATCTGTGTGCTCTGATTGGTCAAAAGTTTTATGAATATTTATGGTAAAACAATACCTTTCATGCTAGTACTCCCGCAGCAGTGCAGGGTCCTATGGGTATCTGATGATGGACTAACCGCTATTGAGAAAAAAGTCCAAAATGTAACTGTTTATGCATGATGTTCAATGACGGACAATAGGTCACCTGACTTAAAAGTGTACAGCAGTCTTTCTCATATTTTTAAGCAGAAAAAGAAAGCAAGTTTAATTTATTTTCAGTAGTGTCGACTTTACCCTTATGACACTTCTACTCACACGCAACTCTTTCCAATTTAATAGAATAGCCAAATACCTAACAATGTGTATTACTGTAAAATGAAAATGTTTGCGTGTGGAACAGTTCACATTTTCTTGTTGGTATTGTTTCTAAAATCTGCATATTCCTTATATTTATAATCTATGTAATGTTCAAATAATTTTGCATGTGCGAATATTTTCGGGCTAACTGACTCCACGTTTCTAGATACGAAAATGGAAGCATTTTCACACGGCAAAAATTTCCACTTTTACATTATTTAATGATAAAATACATATCAATACTAGTATTATCAAATCTGTTTCTTACTTGAATTTTGCAACCACAATTACAAATAATATCTTTGTCACTTTTATTCTTTTCATCTAAGGTGAACGTATTTTTCAAGGCCAGCTTCAAAAGCACTTGTTCAGCTATGTCTGTTGACACTTGAGTTTCCTTGTTCAGAGAGGAGTCGCTTTCTTGTTTAAAAAGTCTAACAAACTCCATTGAATTTTCTGAAAAAGAAAAAGAAAGATGATTGGCTTGCATGGTCACCCGAGTGAATTGATATGGGTGGTCGGGTGGCGCAGTTGGTAGCGCACTTGTCTTTCACCAAGGGACTCCGTTACTAACACTGGCCGAATTTCAAAAAGATGATTTCCTAATTAAAACTAACCATGCCCGATCTCAAAATCACACATTCGGAATAAATATCATAATGTTGATTTCCTTGCTACAACTTACTCAGCTTGATTTTAGTATTACATATTCGGTATTGATTACATAATGTTGATACTTCATTACATCAGAACTCGATATTAATCACCTAGGGTTGATTGCTTCATTAACCTGACTGAATGACGGCAAGTTTGGAGGACGTTATTTAGTCGCGCGTGGTACGATTATTTCGGACAATATCTGGGTATGTGCCCGCTGTATCACGCAGATCCAGACACCTTACGTCAGACGCCCTTCTTTACATATAGACTGACCATGGTCCTTCAGCACTGACCGGCAATACATCAGTCTGTTGACCATTGTTGCGGTGACTCGTTTATCCAGTTATTTCCTACCAATACAAACCGTCGTATTAGCGCGGTGTGTCGCTCAGCCCTGCCCTTCAGACATCCACGTCCCGACGCTGGACAATTGGCCTCCGTAGAGTCACAGACAGTTCTAAGGAAAACTATGCATGGGTCATTTATAGAAAACTCTTGTTGTTAGCTTTACAACAAATTAAGCATTTACCATGTTTTATTTCTAGCGGATTTTTTTTCACAAATATTGAAAACAAAAACAAAGCAATATGCGTACAGATAAAGAAAATGGTTATTAATTTCAGAGAAAATGAAAATAATCGTGAATTTCTCAGAAAGTAAAATAAAAATCGAAATTTCAAAAACGAGTTAGTAGGTCAACAAATAATCGGAAAATCGAATCACGTTTGCCATATTGACATCGATCGACTATTTATTGGCGTGGAAAAAAGCTCCGGGTAGCCTGTAATTCTGTGTACACACTGTGAATTTGTGATGGATGGGGCTGACAACAGGATTCAAACGTTTTTATAGAGATTTGTGTCCACAATTTTAGATTTTAGACAGTGAATGAAAACCAAAAATATAGCCTGATCCTTTACGTTAAAAAGTATGCGCAATTTTCACATGCGTGATTGCTGTGATTTGATCTGAATTCTTAGACTAGATCACGTCCTTTCATTACACTACGATTTCCGCTCTAAATGGCCATGTGAAAAGATTCATTTTTACGTATTTATTTCAATCACATAATCATGGTGTCGTGTTGAGATCTAAACTAGATAACCAGACGGACAGGGAAGGGAGCGGAACAGCTTTCCATCAAAATATGTATATGTGTCACCACATTACAAAACATGTCGGGTTCTATATAGCGACATCAATGTGTACGCAAGTAAAATTGGAATCAGGGACTGGTTGAAAATGATATTTTGTTACTTGATTGACGTCAGTTTCTGTTAACCAGATTGCTTTGGATTTAGTTTAGTTTAAATCAATTAAATAAGTTCGCCGCTGGAATTGCAAAATATACCCAATGTAAGCTAAATGCAATTGTGCAGTAAATCTGATTGAGGTATATACCGCTGTAGTTTGTTTCAATATATATGTCTTTCGCTATTCCATTCAATCAAATGAATTGCGACTCAGACCCGGCTGTATGATGCCTTAACATCTTTATAACAAAAAGAATAAACAAAACAAATACGCACAAAAAACATGTCGTGTTCATCTTTTATTGTATTTAATGAATGTACCAAGTTGTAAAGACCTTAACTAAGGGTATAAAGTATTGCAAGAGGCACAGCAAACGTGAACCGCCGGTGAAACATGCAAAAAATACCCGCGTAGAAAATCCGTAGATTTTCAATGGTTTATGAGTCATATTTCTTCGGATGCCTGGGTAAGATTTCTACATAGAATTTGGGCCCCTGGTAGGTTTTCTACGCGGGTTACTTTTTTCATTGTATACCGGCACTTTCCGTAAACCTGAAAAGAGCCGATGGTTTTGGTTTGTTCTAAAACAAATTAAACATGTGTATCTCCTAGGCAGACGAACAGGTAAGTACACCCTTGTAGTGGTAGGACGCCGGGCTCGTGACCGAGGGTGATGAGGGTTCGAGTCACGGCACGGCACTATGACGTATCTTTGAGCATGGTACTTTACTCCGCTTGTTCCTGCCTACTCAGTTGTAAATGAGTATGTGGTTGGGCAGTACTTGAATTGTAGAATAATAGCTGTGAGCACCGAAATGGCAGCACCGGCTGTATGCTCCCCAGGGAGTTGAGAAAGATATATTGGCTGGTTGCAAAGGCCATATAACTACGGAAAATAATTTGTGAACCGCTTTGAGACGACCTACGAACTAGGTTGTGATAAAGCGGTGCATATTCGTCTCCTGATACGATAATGAAACGGCACCTTAATTATGTTTTAGCGTCCTCGAAACCTTCCAGGCGCGACACAACTTGTTAACCTAACGACATATGTTACAAATTAAAACGTTTTAGGTAAAATGCTATTTTATTTTCGGATAGCTTTGGTTTAGTATTTGGAAAAATGGTATTGTATTTTGTGATGGCATATGAAGTTTTACCTTCATGTTTTGCAAGTATTAAACATTAAAATGCAATCTTCTGAGTTATATATTATAGTGTAGTCTTGCTCCATTTTTACTCTGAGCAGAATGCAATTTGATAACTCTTTTAATATTTCTTATTAATAAATCGAATCAATTGATACGATACATGTATATTGTATTAGTTTCTCACAATTTTGACGACATAGATTTTCCATGAATAAGAAAGGCGACAAAAAGAAATTGGTGGTGATTGTGGGGGAGGGTAAGGGCTCGGGTGATGGGGTCCTGACCACAAGGACCCACCGATCCGCCAATGTTGTGAAGCATACAAATGTACTAAAACATGTTTGTTTCATGTCAGAGTAAAAAATAATAATAGTAATAAAGGAACAGGCGAAATGTTCAAATGTTGAAGCTTGCTCCTGACTTCAGACTCGGGTCGGTAGAATGTTACAGTCGGTAAGCTACAAGGGGATATAGGTAACACCTGCACTCTAGACGACATTAACGTTCATCCAGCTTTATCGCCTCGTCAAAACGTCTGGAAAACGAAAAGATTTCATTGGCGGATTAGGTCTAGGTGGAGCGCTTTTATTGACAATTTAAGCAGAGGAATGACAGTGAGGAAATAGAGCTTCGGGGGATACTACACTTACAAAATGTAGATAAAGATTAAACTATAGTGTGTTTTCTTGCTATGAAATTATATCGTTCTCGGTCAAGACTTTTATTTAACTAAAAAACGAAGGACAAGATTGTGTTCTTAACATTCGTTTTTTTACATAGCGGCAAATCTTGAATAGCGTAGACCTAGTAACACGCGCGCGTGATTGATAACGTTGTACATTTACTCATCGCCCGGGACAACAAGGGAGTAACCTGATTTAGTGGGGATCTGGTTTAACGTTTGAAGCTACGTGGTGTATATTATTCATGTTTAAGACTGAAACCTGACGTGCTTTAGTCTTCTTACAAAGAGATTTTCCCCAAGGGAGAGGAGTTCGTGTACATTCCCTGATTTTTTTTATTCTTGCAGTATAGCACTTAAACTTCCGAACACAGTGTTGCTTTTACTATTACTTTTCGTTTATTCAACAATTTACGTCGATTATGAATAAATCCTTTGAAAAGTGATATGTATTTTTATAACTATTGTCACGAAACTGGATTGGGTCGATCGCTGGCGATTAGGTACATGTAGCTGACTTGTTTAGAGCATCCGTCTTGAATTTGGAGGTCCCGTATTCGAATCCTGGTCTAACCGTTGCATTTTTTCTTTCCTGTTAAAATGTCATATATGATTAAAAATATTCATCTTTTTTTTTTCTTTTCAGGTACTATGCCATAGTCCATCCCCTGTCCGCAATGAAGGTGAACAGCAAATCCAGGACAAAGAAGATAATAGCGGTCACGTGGGTCATTCCCATAGTGATCTGCACGCCTTACCTATATTGTGGAAGTTTTGCCTTTGAATTTCGTAGCCATTATGGAACAGTGTCCCGCCAAATTTGTGCTGACCGGTTTGATGAGATAGATGGCGGCACCGGAAACTTCCGTCGAGTGTTCTTTCTCGTGCTAGCAGCGTTCATGTACTTTCTGCCAATGATAATCATCATCACAACATGTTCTAGGATCGCCAGGTCTTTGCTTCAACCAATCATCATCGAGAGCTCGCAATCTGGTGCAAGAAATTGTAAACGGCGAGACGAGGTCAATAAGCGCAAGGTATGTTTTTGTACGCATGCGCGTCATTAACATCCTGGTTTGGATAAAAAAAAATCTTTCATTTCGTTGTACACAAAGATTTATCCTTACTTTGGGACTGTGTGACATTTGTTGGCAAACCCAAAAATTTGCTCGTCTATATCATCGACGTTACAATTTGAAATAATATCGACAACATATCGGTGGTTTTAAAGTTGACATGCGCATTTGGAATATGCCTACCAACGTTGTCGTCTGCTGTTAAAGTGAAATGATACATTCTATACTACCGAGCATGCTTCCGCAATGTACACGTGAACTTACTTAGTGATTTATAGGTTAGGAGCAAATACGTGGGACGGAACAATACACGTCCCTGTTTTCGAACAAATACAAAGTAGATTGAACGATAAGCGTCACAGCCACATCACCAAGAACATAGTATCATACAATCGTGTCATTTACAGCAATGTCGTTAAAACGTCATTGCGCGTTGACATGCACAAGCTATTGAGCCGAACTTCAAAGCAAGTCGTTACATTCAACTTAAAATTTTCTGTTTAAATGGCTAATTTTAGTCCGCAGATATGTTTGATGTTCAAGTAGGCGCAATGTTTGAAATTTTAGAAATCTTTGCATCTTCTTGACCCTTTTTTCAGCTATTCGTGACGTTTTATCCATTCTGAATTGATGGCTGCAAATAAAAATCATAGTCATAACAGCTTTGACCTTCGAAGTGTTAAACCTCTATTCGTGTGTATTCTATGTTGCCCGGATGTTGTACGCATGCAGCCTGGACAACAACCGTTTAATGTGGCAACCACAGTTGCCCCTTGTTATCTCCCAACTCCCACGCCTTCCATTAAACGGCAGAGATATCGGTCAAACATTGGTGATAATCAACCAATTGATTAACTTCTTCCGTCACTTCTATTGGTTAAAATCCTGAACTATAGAACGTGACAAGTCTGACAAGATTTACGCCCTTTGGACATCAAAGTTACATGTATTGATCAGCGATGTAGAACCATGATTGAAACTAAAAGTAACGAGTAGTTAGCCGTACGGGCACTCAGTACAGATTCAAATCTTACACTACCAAAAAAAAACCTCCAAGCGTTGTAAAACAATATTTGGTTTAACAGCTGTAAACATAGCAGTAAAATTGTCCATATCAATTGGCAACCTTACCACTGAAAACAAATTCTAACGCAGCTTGGCCTGTCGTTTGTAGAACCACGTTGTCCACCACTTAACATTGTCAGGAGGAATTGTGGTTACCGTAGAAAGCAGTTTCAAAAAATCTTTATTTTATTTTATTAATTTATTTTTACATTTAATGCTTTAATACGATGTTAAATTACCAAATAAGAGAGAAAACCCGCTTAATTCGTTACTTATCTTTTCTAAAGTTTGAAACATGTTCGAATAAGATAAACACGATTTCCTTCCGATCTAACATCCTCTGAAAAGAACTAAACAACCTCAAAAGACATCCCGTATGCCCCTTTATTCATACTTATATCGAATAACTGGCATGGAAATGCCATTAAGACCAGATATTCTGGCACGGCGGGGTGGGGGGCGAATTCTTCATCAATGAAACCCAGCATATAAATCTAGGTCATATCCTAGAAAAGTTACATCCGCAAAATGATTACCTGTGTAATGACAACGAAATTACAAAGCACACTAATGACAGAATGGTAAAAACCGAAAGTAATGATTAGACTGGTGCCCAAAATATTGTTAAATATTTCTGTTTGCAAAAAAAAACACGATGTTAAAACTAAACATACGTACATGTTCTAAACAGCGATAGCAATGACCTTTGATTGTGTATTTAACCTGTTGGCAAGATGTTGATAACCTTATGACCTCTGATTATGTATATTGCAGGTTGCCCGGATGGTGATAGTGATAGCAGTAGCCTTCATCCTGTCCTGGTCCCCGATGTATGTGGTCAATATTGTCAGTCAGCTACAAGGTCAAGGTGACAGCTTCCTTGTTCATAGTAACTTCTTGTTCACTATGCTAATCGTAAACCTCGCTGGATTTATCAACAGTTGTGTTAATCCTTTTATCTACACCGCCATGAGTAAAAAATTCCGGAAAAGTTTTGGTCGGACACTTGGTAAAATATTCTGTAATTATTACTGTCGACAGAGGTTGTTCCTATACAGAGATAGTATCATACAGCGACGATCAACGGCGTATACTAGCGCGTCACGGGGGTCGTTCATTGACCCGGAAGCAGAACCACTACAAAGTGAGATGAGAGAGAGACCACCCATCAAAGGAAAGGAATCGCATAGCAGCAGTAGCGAGGGTGACTCTTCCTGGCGGTCACAAACTAGGCTGTGTAAAACTGCGAAAGGGAGACAACCTATGACACAGGAGAACGTGTGTGGGTCTAATGAGGGCGATACGGTTGAACAGTCAGGTATCTGTGCCGAAATGCCTACTGTGACTTCTTCTTGTCCATCATCTGTCCAGATCACCAGCAATGACTACACTGGACACGGCAGATCAGTTACGAACGGTCAGATTATGCCAAGACAATGCAAAATTCGTAGCTTTATGGAGCCAAACAAAAACGGAATTAAGACGGAGACGTTCATCATGCGTGACATCAAACCAACAGAGTGTGACGCAGACGGGCATGTGCGCACACTGACCATGTGTATCGGGGACATAAACGAGGCAGAGTCTGTTGAGATTAAACAGGACGCATGCCCGTGAACTTATACACTTAAATATTTATTTTTAAAATGCATCAACCAATCATGTACATGTAATTTGAAGGAGTTCCGGCTGCTGACTGGTTGGCGACGCTGTTTGACAATGGCGTTCTGACTGGTGACTGGTTGGCGACGCTGTTTGACGTTAGAGTTCTTACTGGTGACTGGTGGGTGACGGTGATTGACGATAGAGTTCTGACTGCTGACTGGTGGGTGACGGTGTTTGACGGTCGAGTTCTTACTGGTGAGTGGTGGGTGACGGTGTTTGACGGTAGAGTTCTGAATGGGGATTGGTGGGTGACGGTGTTTGACGGTCGAGTTATTACTGGTGACTGGTGGGTGACGGTGTTTGACGGCAGAGTTCTGACTGGTGACTGGTGGGTGACGGTGTTTGTCGGTCGAGTTCTTACTGGTGACTGGTGGGTGACGGGGTTTGACGGTCGAGTTCTTACTGGTGACTGGTGGGGGACGGTATGTGACGGTAGAGTTCTGACTGCTGACTGGTTGGTGACGGTGTTAGACGGTAGAGTTCTGACTGGTGACTGGTGGGTGACGGTGTTTGTCGGTCGAGTTCTTACTGGTGACTGGTGGGTGACGGTGGTTGACGGTAGAGTTCTGAATGGTGATTGGTGGGGGACGGTGTTTGACGGTCGAGTTCTTACTGGTGAGTGGTGGGTGACGGTGTTTGACGGTCGAGTTCTTACTGGGGACTGGTGGGTGACGGTATGTGACGGTAGAGTTCTGACTGCTGACTGGGGGGTGACGGTGTTTGACGGTCGAGTTCTTACTGGTGAGTGGTGGGTGACGGTGTTTGACGGTAGAGTTCTGACTGCTGACTGGTGGGTGACGGTGTTTGACGCTCGAGTTCTTACTGGTGACTGGTGGGTGACGGTGTTTGACGGTAGAGTTCTGAATGGTGATTGGTGGGTGACGGTGTTTGACGGCAGAGTTCTGACTGGTGACTGGTGGGTGACGGTGTTTGACGGTCGAGGTCTTACTGGTGACTGGTGGGAGACGGTGTTTGACGGTAGAGTTCTTACTGGTGATTGGTGGGTGACTGTGTTTGACGGTAGAGTTCTTACTGGTAATTGGTGGGTGACGGTGTTTGACGGTAGAGTTCTTACTGGTGATTGGTTGGTGACGGTGTTTGACGGTAGAGTTTTTACGGTTGACTGGTGGGTGACGGTGTTCGACGGTAGAGTTCTGACGGTTGACTGGTGGGTGACGGTGTTTGACGGTAGAGTTCTTACTGGTGACTGGTGGGTGACGGTGTTTGACGATAGAGTTCTTACTGGTGACAAGTGGGTGACGATGTTTGACGGTTAAGTTCTTACTGGTGATTGGTGGGTGACGGTGTGTGACGATAGAGTTCTCACTGGTGACTGGTGGGTGACGGTGTTTGACGGTAGAGTTCTTACTGGTGACTGGTGGGTGACGGTGTGTGACGATAGAGTCCTGACGGTTGACTGGTGGGTGACGGTGTTTGACGGTAGAGTTCTGACGGTTGACTGGTGGGTGACGGTGTTTGATGGTAGAGGTCTTACTGGTGACTGGTGGGTGTCGGTGTTTGACGTTAGAGTCCTGACGGTTGACTGGTGGGTGTCGGTGTTTGACGATAATGTATATAATGTGTGATGTAATTTAACGCCCTGGGACTATTTATATGTTCAGAGTGAAACCACGTGTGTCAGGCATTATCTCTGTTGTGTATGTAACTGATTAAGTTTAAAACAGAACCCAGCTTGTCCGGACAAGAACCCGATTACACAAGACCTGACACGTTAAAAATCCAATACGGTGAAATGCACAAATGAATTTGTTGATAGTTTTTTTCTGTAGGTGATCATTTTGAATAATAGTTTAGTTTCGAAATACATTATATTTAACACTTTTAGGACATTAAGCAAAATAGCAAAATTACCATCGTATCTTTGATTTATAAAAATCAAAGAATTATAAACGCTAGATTAATCTGACTTCCCAAAAGTAACTTTTGTTATTTTATTTTAATTGTAATAAACTTTTCTGTTCTCATTTAATAAAGATATTGAAATTGTAAACTTGTTTTTCTTGATAAGTGGAGAGAAAGTAGAATTTCAAAACGTAAACCTGTTTTTCTTAAATTAAGAATGCCAGTATGAAAAGGATTGGAAATATAGAAATATACTTTCTGTGAATAACGTTATTTTTGCGAAAAAAATCGTTATGAGTGAGGTTATGTAAAAAATGAACATATCTATATATACATATATTGTCTATTCCGATAGCGGTAAAATATGTTTTTGTTATTGTATTTTAATTGTAATCAAGTGGAGAGAAAGCAGAATTTCAAAACTTAAACCTGACTCTCTTAAATTAAGGATTCCGGTATGAAAAGGATTTGAAATAACGTTATTTTTGCGAAAACAATCGTTATGAACGAAGTTATGTAAAAAATGAACATATCTATATATACATATATTGTCTATTTCGATGATACTTAATATAAGCGGTAAAATAAAATTAGAAATCGCATCACCTCACAGATTTACGTGATAATAAATATTTCTCGGAACATCAGTGCAATGCACTATTTACATTCACGTATATTTTAAACTTGAGGCGAAACCATTAACATGTTATGCTTTTATAGAACAAGCAAAAACTAAATATGTGTTAACTTCTAGAAACCGAAGTCCAATCCTGTGTAGGTTTATGGTATTGTTATAAGAGCTAATCCCACGTGATATACAAATTAGGATCCTGATTGGACTGAGATGAAAGCCAAAGACGGAGTATTATTGAACAGGAAAAAAAGACATAGTTTTAAACATACGTAAATCGTGTGCGTGTGATTAATACAAAATATTTCTTATGTGGGTAAGAAAATAGTGTGAGATATTCATGGTATCAAATGACGTAATTTAATTTGCCAACTGTAGCTAAACAAAACTGTCGCAGGAAAGGGGAATGTATAGGATTTATATACACTTGTAGTTCCAGTTTTTGGCAGTGGTACGTGGACCCTTAAATGTGTCTAAGAAGGGTTCCCTCTTATTTTGTGATTCTCCCTACTTCAATGTTCCCCATTAATTAAAACATATCGCTTGGTTCTGTAAATAAAGATACATAACGATGTTGTTCTCTGTCGGTCACTACCATAACACGTAACACGCATTGCAATATATTGTAAAATTGTCGGATGACGATATGACAATTACTTGTGGCTTGTCTGATGAATGATCTATTTTTTTGGGATTCCTAATAAGATTTTCTGATACAAGCAATTAAACTTAACGTCATAACAGTGTCAACTATTACAGTGAATTAGGCGATGGCGTCATACTTTAACAACCATATCTGAGGAGACTGGAGAACATCTTCTACATGACGGATCAACATCTCTGAGGAGACTGGAGAACATCTTCTACATGATGGATAAACATATCTGAGAAAACTAGAGAACATCTTCTACATGACGGATCAACATATCTGAGGAGACTGGAGAACATCTTCTACATGACGGATCAACATATCTGAGGAGACTGGAGAACATCTTCTACATGACGGATCAACATCTCTGAGGAGACTGGAGAACATCTTCTACATGACGGATCAACATCTCTGAGGAGACTGGAGAACATCTTCTACATGACGGATCAACATATCTGAGGAGACTGGAGAACATCTTCTACATGACGGATCAACATATCTGAGGAGACTGGAGAACATCTTCTACATGACGGATCAACATATCTGAGGAGACTGGAGAACATCTTCTACATGACGGATCAACATATCTGAGGAGACTGGAGAACATCTTCTACATGACGGATCAACATATCTGAGGAGACTGGAGAACATCTTCTACATGACGGATCAACATATCTGAGGAGACTGGAGAACATCTTCTACATGACGGATCAACATATCTGAGGAGACTGGAGAACATCTTCTACATGACGGATCAACATATCTGAGGAGACTGGAGAACATCTTCTACATGACGGATCAACATATCTGAGGAGACTGGAGAACATCTTCTACATGACGGATCAACATATCTGAGGAGACTGGAGAACATCTTCTACATGACGGATCAACATATCTGAGGAGACTGGAGAACATCTTCTACATGACGGATCAACATATCTGAGGAGACTGGAGAACATCTTCTACATGACGGATCAACATATCTGAGGAGACTGGAGAACATCTTCTACATGACGGATCAACATATCTGAGAATAAATGAGTGGATACGAATTTTCCGAATTAACGAACAGAAAAGGGGTAGAGAGTAGTGTGTTTCCACCGACGATCGAACTAGCGAAACCCCAGCTTCCCTTTCGACCGCTCTACCAATTAAGTTAAAGGGAAATTCCCTCGGCGTGAAGATAGAAGTTGACCTTAATATTTAGTTGACCTCAATCTTATGTACTATTAAAAGTTGCCACACCACTTCCCTATTTTTAAATGAGTTCGCCCTCGAACACCACAACAACCAGATGCTAACTCCCCATCACCTTAGGGAGGGGTACGGACTACATTTTTAACAGGAAAATGAAGGCAAATGCAAAATTATTTCCTCTAACGCCAAGATTGAATGCAACTGTGATCCCATGTAAAACTTAACCTGCTATACAAAAAAAAAAAAAAATTGATGAAACAAACAAACATGCTGATTTATTACAAGTGAAATGTTAGTTTCCAGATCCGAAAATGAGCTATTACGCAGATCTAATTATCTGGCGTGATTATCAGGAGTTAGTTTTTCAATTGCTGACTTCTTCTCTTGGACAATATGATTGACGTGACAAAATTAACATGATAAAGAAAGTCACACGGCATTAACAAGAATAGGCAGCTATCTATGGGCGATATCGATCGGCCGGCATAGACTTTAAAAACAATATCCATTTAGTAATTATGTATTGATTGGTTTATTTTGTTTATAAGGACGTATCTCCATGTGTGTAAGGTATGCGTGGACGTTTGTATGAGTGCTGCAGGCAGGGTATGTAGATTTAGGTACCTCCTTGTATAGCGCGGACCTGGTTTGGTTTAGTTTGGTTTAATTTTGTTTATCGTCCTATTAACAGCTAAGGTCATTTAAGGACGTGCCTCCATGTGTGTAGTGTAAGCGTGCATGCGTGTGTGTATGCAGGTATATTGGTGTGCTTGCCCTCCTTGTAATAGCGTGGATCTGATGCCGACTTTTTAGTGCTATTTCACTGAAATACCATTCCGAAGGCAACCACCACAGCATTCCACCCGGTCAATTTATACTTATAACAGATGAACCAGTTGTTGCCATTACCCTAAATGCTGAACGTTCATCAGGGAATAACAACTACCATTTTTAAGGTATTTGGTATGTCCTGGCCTTTGGACAGAACCCTTTGCCTTCCTCACATGGGCTGACGCTAAACAGTAGATAGGGTGCAGTCGATTTATTTTGGTCGCCTTTGTGACCCCAAATAGAGGACACCAAAGCAAATTCTCAATTCTGCAGAGGGTTCCCGCATTAGTCGCCTCCTACGATACATGCAGTGGGTAACAACAGGTGTATTCTTTTCCCGCGATCTCCCAGGTGCAAGGGTGGCGCGGACCTGAAGCTGACTTTATAGTGCTATCGCAATGAAACACCATGCTAAAGGTACCCTGCCTATCATTCATCCCAGTCACAACATACTGACAACGGTGTTAATCCTTTGTTTTCATTACCATAAATGTTGAACGCTATATATAAGCAGGAATAACAAATGCCGTTTTTATGGACTTGTGTATGTCCCCGCCTTTCGACTGAACCCAATTGCTTTCCCCGCATGGGCGAACATGTCTTTATAGCCATCTACTGTTAGCGTTACATCTGTTTAATGTGTAGAACATGTAAATATTGATTTAAACATATTTTATTGTCGAAGCAGACAAATGGATGAGAGACAAGTTCTAACAACTTACAAGCTCTTCTCCTATAATACAGCATATGAATTACATTTAAATCACGTGACGTACTATGTACACAGAGATCAATTTACAAAATAATAATATGGTAGATGTATTTTCTTGTCTAAATCAACTTTATCACAAAAAGTAAAGGGGGATTGGAAGAGAAAGTAGAACAAAGACGGGAAAGGAAGTCGGGAGGGAGTAGATTCGGTGCCGATTGTAAAAAGTTCGTTCAGGTAGCATCAAAACGCTTTGTTGTATTCAAAAACGTCTGTACCGATTTTACTATATTGATGTTTGTTTCATAGGAGTAATTGTCACTATTTCCCCACAAAATAATTTCTAGATTAACATCTACATTTAAATCGCGCAATGTATCAAATAAGCAAACTTTGAACATGTAAAGAAGTAGTGATTCGCATCTTCCACACCGTCACCACACAAACAATTTGGGGACCGACAAATTACTACTCTAAATCAATCTGACTGTAAACCACTACAACGATGCCTTATACGGTCATGTAGTACAGAAATATAGCGATTTCTAGTATGCAGATAATCAGGCACAGATGGAGGTACACGAGAAGAGAAACACCGGATTTAATGTCGTTATCTAAATTATTCAATAAATGTAAAGACGACGGAACAAAAGATTTTTTTGT